TTTTATCACATAACATACTTTGGAAAAAGACTTTTCAAGGTACCACGATATATGACAAAAACATAAATGCGGGAAAGGATGGACGAGACACCAATACTGATCCATATGACTGGTAAGCATTATTTATCCACTAATGTATTAATCAAATACAAGCGAAAAAACTGCGCTTTAGGAGACTTTTTACAATACTGGCCATAATTGCTGGAATATTGGTGCTCATAGTTATTCCAATTCTCCTTCTGATGATCGTAGCAAAATATGCTCGCGGGAAGATCGCAGGAAAAGGAGCAGTGGGAGCTGGAGGCGACACTTCTAATAGAAGTGCACGAAGTTCTAAAAGGTCTAAGAGGAGCTCAAGGAGCAGCAGAAAAAGTACCAAACGCGGGAAAAGTGTTAAGAGCGCAAAAAGTGCCAAAAGTGGAAAAGCTACTAGCAGTGTCAAAAGTAGACAAAGTGCCAGAAGCGGCATGAGCGATAAAAGCTTTCAATAAGACATGATTTGTAGACATTAGACTGATGTATAAAAGCTTATTCGCTAATGTATAAAAGCTTACTCCCATTCTGCTTGAATGCTAAGCAAAAAAAAAGATATTACAATAATTTCAAAAAGAATCACGCGAAACACTGTTTTCCCATCAGCATCCTTAATCTCGAACATTCTAGTATGGCACCACAGATCCCAACCAACTCAGCGACTTAAAAAAATAAAATAAAGATTGGTAAGCTGAGAGGTACTTTTAAACCTGTCAGCAGTGGACGTAGAGCTTTGAGTGGTTAATTAATTTTTTCTGCTTCATTCTTCTTATAAAACACATGGCTGGCACATCCGTACCGTTTCAGACTCTTTCCTGACTGCACTGGCCGCAAAAGGATATTTGCCGTCATTGGGCTTTGGCTATTTTTTTTTTTGGCTACAACATAGAACGACAGTTCTCCTAATTCGATTTAATTTGTTTGTGAGTCTAATCTGATGTCCTCCTTCTAATCATACTCTCCACTACCGCTGATAGTTACCACCACACAACTTCAAATAAGTTAATGGTAGGCGAAGGATAGCCAATTGGTGGTAAGGAGCCTTCGACGAAAGCTGACAAAACGAAATTCACCTTTTCGATTTGATGTGAGTATAAGGAAAAAAACCCAGCAATCGTTCTTTTTTGTTTTGTTATTACATAAGCTTGTTTTTAACCATAGGTGTAAGACCGCAAAGCATAGACGAAACTCTTTCCAGATTTCTAGACCTTTTGTATTCTTATTCGATTGGTCCTAAAAACACGCATCAAAAAGATTAAATTATGGGCTTTTCAATATGCTAGCACTGCAAATATGAGTTCTGTCTGATACACTACTTCTATCTTACTGCAGTCACCAATATTGCCAACGAGCAATCATAATCCGGAATGCAATATTTGTCGCAAGCTCAATACGCACTAGCCATCTTTTGATGTTATCGTTCGGAAAAAGAGACTGATTTGTTCGTTTAACGTATTGTTAGCAACTCTTACTCTCTGAGACTGAAAAATGTTGGACTGCGTTGGGCAGTACTGCGAAGAATGTGATACATCAAGCAAACTTTTGATAAGGAGTCACTTTTTGTGGCGGTTCTCAGTCAGTAACATTTCTTTCTGTTCCACAATCATATACACTTATTTAGTCTTTAATATTATGAACATATTATGAGTTAGCTTGCTAACGAATAGTTTGCTAACGCTTTCAATGATTCTCACAAAAACACGTTTATGAGGAAGATTTAAGTGTCTCTTGCCTCTGGCTCATAACCGATTATAATCATGGTTTCAGCAGATGTAGCTGATCAGGCAATATTTTCTTTGAAGATTTCAACTTTTTGACTTTTCACTTCATTCAAAGTGGTACATCAACATTGATTTGCTTTAAGAAAGCGCGCTTTTCAAAGGTTTTATTTCGAAAATGACTAGTGAATATATCTATAGAAGTGAATATGATAAAGCTTAACATCTTGCACATCCT